CTTCCAGTGCTTGTGTAATTTTTTTTTGCATATTTTGCTTCAATTACTTACTAACTTAATGCATATTTATCAAAATATGACTGAGAGTTGAGACAAACAAAATTTTCCATTCCCTCCCATTGTGTTCAATTTAATTTTGGAGTGTTTTCTTTGTCTTTTGTAGTAAAATGGAGAATAATAATGGGAAAACAGAGTAGATGATTTGCGTGCATGCCAGCTTTGACAAGAGAGAAGGGTGGGAGAATCCAGACATATCTTTTAAACCATGTCGGAGGAAAAACAATAGACTTGTTGTATAAAACTCTGCACAAATTATTATCAGTTGCAGGACGTCTCACACAAAATAAAGGAAAAAAGAAAAATTGCAGGCGGTCCCATAAGCACTGCACAGTGCATAATTGAATTGAGGGATGATGTATCATCTAAGTACTGATTCCGCAACAGAAGGAGAGACTTCTTTATAACCTGACACTGCTTTATCCAATTCTATAAACTTTTAATAATAATAATAATAATAATACTTTGTTTTGCTTGCTTTGCTTTAAACAAGTGCATGTTTTTTAGTTTGATTCATTTGGCTTTTGTTTTATTCCCCTGGGTTAAAGCATAGATAGATAGATAGATATGGACAATTATAAAGAGCATTGGGGAATAATATTAATGCAACTTGGAAATCTGTGGTGGTGGTCGGGAATAACCTTAATTGGCCAATAAAATCTGTCTATTTTATATACAAACTGGATTAATATAAAACTTTGATACTCAGATTCGGCATTGAGAGGCTTATCTTTTAAGGGAACAGGGTTCCATTAACATTACCAAGGTCAACCAACTTTCACCAAGCATATTTCTTGGCCTCCATTTCAAATTCTAGAAGGATGATCCGCTGCTGCAGTTCAATTGTTGTGCTGCTAGCACAAGGTTTTTAGAGAAAAACCCAAATACAATATCCAAGTTTTGATTCGTTTCGACAGTGCACAGTAGTTTTGCTTTGTAACTGCAGCAGGTCCACTCTGCCACCAAGAAAGAATTACAGAGAGATGTGGTGATTGTAGTAGGCATGTGATGTGAGACTCGTCTTTTAATGGCTACTGTGACAATATTTATATATATATAGAGAGAGACAGAGAGAGAGAGAGAGAGGTGGGGGTCCATGTCTTGTTGGTTTTAAGTAGTCTCCATCTTCTTCACGAGTCCATGACTTTTAATGTGGTTGATTGATCTGCAACATGTACATGTGTGTGTGTGTGTGTATAATAGCAGTGTAGAGTGTTCCATTTTATTAGATATAGAATTACTTACAGATGAGTGTGGTTTGTTGGTGTGGGGTGGGGCAATCCAAAGACTTTTGGGGTATGCATGATCTTAGATAGATAGGCATGGATCAATCATTCATGCATGCTCATTGCTCACCACCACCACCTCTTCCTCCTCCTCCTTAAAAGAAGTGAGACTTGACAAAGCCAAAGCAAAGCACTAACACTCTCTTTTTTACTTCATCATGGAATTGGAAAAAGGTGGGAAAAAAGAAAAACAAACTGTGAAAAGCCATCCATTTGATATTTCATCTTCTTCAAAGATAAAAGCTTTCTATATATACGGACCATTGAGTGTATAATCACTACCCCTCGGGAGTTTCTCCCAAACCTACCCTACCCCCCATTGCTTTAAGAGAGAGAGAGATGCAAAGGTTGACCATTGACTCCATCCAAAGCTAGATTCAAATCAGCCCATTACTTTTACCAACTCCATTCAAATACATAAAATCTCAGATCCAACTTACAATTTTGACATGATGGAATGCATGATACTTACAAATTTAGTAGTTAATTCCAGAGCAGGAGGAAGAAGGGTCAAAAAAAGTTATCTTTTTATTAGTTTTGAATGATGAATTATTGACTGATTCACAATCTTAATGATAAAGTCCAACAGCTTCCCGCTGCTTTTGACCTTCGCTACTCGAATTTGATTTGTACTTTATAAAGCTGGATCATCCAAAGTCACTTTTCTGGTTGTCTCTGGGGCCTCTCATTTCAAATCTCCGGTGCCAAATTTAAATCAAAGAATTCTAGTTTGACTATTAAACTGCTAACATGTGACCCTAACAAAAAGTTTAAAAGAGAAAAACAAAGTTGCCAGCAAATTATTAGGTTTTGGTCACCGAAGAAAAGTAACGTTGGACCTGGTTCAAGGTAATTAACGGGCCATACTGGGCCGGTTACACAAATTTGGAAGCTCTGCCCGTGGCATATTGTAATAGGCTTTCTTCTTTTACCCAAAAATCATTAGGGAGCTTCTAATTTTGTCTCAAAAGAAAATTCATGAATCCGCCGATAATTTCACTCGCGTATAACTCAAATTTGACATACTTATATAAGTGAATCTCACTGCTATGAGACATGTGATGGCCAACATGATTAGTAATTCAATTAAAATATCGAAGAATTATAATGATAAATAATTGGAATTGATAAGTTCTACATGACTTTAACAATAATTCCAATGGTGGATCAAAAGATAACACACACCAAAAAAAATACAATAAATACAATAATTGGAATTGATAAGCTCTATGAAACGGATTTTATTTGATATATAGCAGTCGCTTCCTTCACTTCGCTTATTTCTAAGCTTGTGGATCTTGTATTATTGTGGTAACTCGAAATCCTTCAACACACACCAAAAAAAGAAATTAATAATAAAAAAAAGAGGTTAATTTAAACTAAGATTAATCAATGAATAAACAAGGATGATTGGTAAGTAAATTAGTAATTTCTTTGATTACTTGTTGAATTGGTGCGGTGTACAGTCCCTGCCAACAGATTGTCTGAGACATCCCTGCAGACAAAATCAAAGTTGAAACAATCCTCCTAATGGTTAGATCAAGAAGGAACACATGCCACCTTTTTCTAGACGACTTAACAAAGGGAACCAATGAACTCACAAATGCTTCAGCTGCCCAAATCGAACCAGTTCAAGGACCACAGATGGTAGAGGGCCAGTGAACCTGTTACTGTTTAATTCCCTGAAAAATAAAATAAAAACAAAAGCATGGTTGACTGAGTAAGAAAGAAAATTAACAGATACGAATGCTTCTTATATATGTATATACAACAGTAATCAAGTTGGCTAGAGCAGATGTGTTCCCAACTCTGCAACCGAGTTCAAATATTAAAAATAGAATATCGATTGTATCAAACTTACAGGATTTCCAAAGATGTCAAATTGCCAAAATTTGGAGGAATAGGTCCGCTCAAGCTATTGCTAAAGACCCTCCTGCCAGTAGAATCAATATACAGGCCCCCATATGATCAGAATTCAGAAATACCAACACCAATATTGTTGTTACATTGAGCCAAATAATTCAAACGGTTTGAAGGAATTCAGACAACTCGAGGAAAATTGCATTTTTTAAGGGGAGATATAATATATTTACTTACAAAAACCTCAAGGAATGCAAGTGTCCAAATGATTTTGGAATTATCCCTGTGAAATTGTTCTTGTGGAGGTCCAAGCTGACCAAGTTTCTTAAGTTACCAATTTCATTTGGAATAGATCCAAACAGTTTGTTGCCAAACACATTCCTGCAATGCCATTAATAAATTAATAAATTAATTAATCAATGATTCATTATTCATTATACTCAATCAAGAAGACTAATCTAATATGTAGTTTGAGAGATGAGAGATTAAGGTCTTACAAGTATTGAAGGTTAGTCAAGTTTCCAAGCTCAGGGATAAGAGGTCCTGACAGATTTGCACGCCCAAGGTCCCTTCATATGTGAACAAAGCTAATTAGTAAAATTTGCATGAGCTGGGCATGTTCAATGTTGTTAATTTAAAACCCCTTACACCCTTGTAACGCTGTTTTCGGAATTGCAACTAACGTGGAACCAGGTGCATGGGTTGATCAAAGTTGGGTCCCAGCTCTGAAGGACATTGTTTGGGTCGGTCAACTGGGTTTTCCAGGCATTCAGAATATCACCTGTTCAAAAATTGAGCGATGAAAAACCCAATTATTAAACCAACATAAGATGAATTTGGCTTAGATGCGAGTTAGGTCAGTTAGGCAAGGCAATGAGCCGGTCCCTTGTATCTAAGTTGGAATACCGCTTCCGGTAAATTAGATTAATAACATGAAATTGGGTTGAATTTTCCCATGATCGTGAATGAACATAACAAGACTTCAATTTGCTTGCATACCTTCAGAGTTGCAATCCACTGATGCAATGACTGCTGCTACTGCAAGCAGAAAACCCAGCAAAACTCGACAACCCATCATGCAGAAGAAGAAATCAATCAACTCTATAAACCAAAAGGTCAAACTGCAACTCAAATGGCAGAGTAGGAGGAGCTGGGATTTTATGCAGAAGAGAATATAAGCCAACCAGCATGGACGTTGATATATATATATATAGATGAGGAGAAAAGGCTGACAATGTGCTGCTGTTGTTGTTGGGACTATTAAATTTGTGACCGGCGGAATGCTTCAACATTGAACAAGGTTGACGCCAGAAAAAGTCCAGATTCAACACAACTTGGCCTAGAAAGACCGATATCTATACTGAGTGAGTGAAAGTCAAACAATTCTGTAATATTTTACGTTGTGAGTTTGTAACGTGAAGCCGCCCTTCCACTTCTAGAACAAGCCAATAAAATCATAAACCAATCATAAAAAAATCAGAGAAATTGTGACAAAATGTGGAGTCTGTAGTAAGATTTCATTTTCTATTTGGCCAAATGAAATAACATTTTTTTTTCTTCTAATTTTGGCCAGAATTCAAAGTGTTGACTAAGAAGAAGCCAGAAGGTATATGTCATAAAGGATTTTTTTTTTGGACAAATATATGTCATAAAGGATAACTTTGTTTGAAACCCTTATCTTTTTTGTTTTTTTCTTTTCGGGAGAGCAGAGGTTGCTGTTTATATGCATGCGTGCACACCAGGGAGAGAGAGAGAGAGAGAGAGAGAGAGAGAGAGAGAGAGAGAGAGAGAGAGGGAGAAACAGAAGAAAGAAATAATATTTGATTTGATGAAATAAAGACTGCAGAATTTATACATTTGCCTTGCAAGGAAAGTAACCAATATTTACAAACAAAAAGATAGGAGAAGCCCCAACTCAACATGGATCTGATCTAACCATCAGGAGCCTCAGTAGCCTTCACAAATCGACCCTTGATTCGCTTCCTAGTATCAGCTCTTGCTTTTCTTGACTCATATCTTATGTGTTTATCATATCTACTCAGAAGAAAAGGGAACAAGTCTATTATATGGTGATGGCAATGACAGGACGGCCTATAGTAAAATAAGAAGACAAAAAGGGCAACATACCTTCGGGTTTTCTTCTTCTCTTTGTAACGCAGCATAGCGTTGCCCCTGTTCTGTGCAAGTAGCTCCATGTCAGCCTTTGTCCCTACCGTTCTCAGACTGTCACCTCTCATCAGAAAAGATTGTTCCATAAAATTGAGATCTGTAGAAGCACCAGAGCCTTTGTCTTCACCAAAAGCTGACCCCAATGACGGCCGCCCAACAGGGATGTTTTTGCTCTCAGATGTTGCTGGCCCCTGACTGGATGCGGGGTTATTGGAGTTGTTCTGCATTTTGGAATTATAAACATCACAATATTCAACTGCCCCCTCACAATTAAAGAACCAAAAATTTGCATACATGAAGAAAAGCATAAGCCCTGCTTACAGATGGTTTAGTGATATTCATGTATGTAAAATGTGTGAATCATTAATCAAAACTCCACTTACATAGACTAACAATCAAAACACCATTTGTTACCAATCTTGACCGTTTTGGTAAAATTTCTACTCGAACTGCATAAAAAAGAGGGATTTAACATATGGCATTTTGTACATTTCTCCAGACTGAAAAAGCGAGGTTCAACAAATCACATACAGGGGTGCTAGTGTATATTGACAACAACTACACACTAGAAAGCTGTCAATATTGATTGAGATACCAAATACTTGAATATGACAAAAGGTCGCATGAGAGGACAGTATGGTACTATTGATGTACATAAAATGCCTCAGGGAACTTTAGAAAAAAAAATGACTGAACAAACAAAGGAATACATAAAGGACTCACATTGAATTTTATATCATCATGTCCAACAGGGCAGTTCATCTGGTACATATCCCTGAACATTTTTGTTTCTGTCAAAGATGTTTCTTTCATAAGTTCACCAAAATTCTTAATCATAAATCCTGAATCGTTTGAACCATATGTGACTTCCAATGGACCTGATTCTTCTTGATCCCTCGACCGTCCTAAATGGAAATCCCATATCTGCAAGCCAGTAGCAAGTTAGCACGATTGTCACAGGTGCACCCAAAACACAATTGAAATCTGTCCGTAGAATTATGAGTAAATTGCCTTGCAGGGGGATCTAAAGCAGATGAAACCTTTAATACTGCAAACAATTCACCCCTGTCAAAGCTAATATATGACTTGCAAATAGTAAACCAAAAAACAAAAGAAAAAAGAAAGGGAACCATGAGGAATGAGAGTTCGCAATTGACATCTCATGAACTTGAAAAAACTAAATCTCTTTTGTCTCGAACATGCTACTCTAAAATTTTCTAGATTTAGTATTAGACAGATGAAGGAATTATAAGAAGAATTGTTCACTACAAAAGGGATGATAGCAGTAAACTAGAACAGAAACTTGTAACTCTTGTTTCCATTGTCTTCAAATAAACAAACAATGGAGATTCGTTATCAATGCGTTTTAACTAAGCTCCGTTTAGCAATTGAAGACAATACCTGACTGCTCTGACCATGGGGGTTGCCATTCCACAACATGTCACCGTCGACAATGCCACGGTTCTCTTCGGGCATCATAAGCAGAGACGTAAAGGGCGCTTGTGGCTGCAACAATGGCTGCGAAGTGGCAGCAGAAGCTACAACCCCATCAACACCTCCATTCCTATTCCCCAGATCAAGCGGTTCAAGACCTTCCACGTTCCCATTTCCATTGTCCTCCTGCCAACCACTCCTTGTCGGCGTCCTCGGCACCACCAAATTCTCTCCACCATCACCACAACCACCGCCACCGCCACCGCCACCGTCCAAGTCCCTCTTAAGCAACTCCACCAGCTGCTTCTGTATCCCCTGCTTCTGCTTCCAGCTAATGCCCCCGCCACTCTCTCTCTTCACCATCAGCTCATCCTTCGGGTAAACGACGACGTTCTGGTTATGGTTGGGCACCATCAAGTCCTGCAGGCCCATCCCACTCCAAGAAGAATCCAGGGAGGGCATACCCATATCCCAGTTCTGGAGCTGCGGGTCAGGTCGACCTGGAAGGTTCTTGTCGTGGAGATCGAGGCCCAGCAGGGAGGCGAGCTGGAGCGCGGAGGGGCAGCCGGAGAAGCCCTGGAGAGGGATGCGATCGTGTGCGGCGGAGACAGAGCAGCTACCGTGGGCGTCCCAATCGCACTCCTGACAGAGAACGAGGTTGTCGGTGGAGCAGCGGACGGAGACGGGCTCGGACGCGCAATTATCACAGATCTGAGAGCGCACGTGCTTCCGGGAGAGCAAGTTCGCGGAGTGCACGTGCTGATCGCAGAATAAGCAGAGCTTGGCGGAGTCGGCCTTACAGTAGAGAACCGCCGGCTGATCAGTGCAGAAATCGCAGGGCACGCCCTCCCCGCATCTGGATTTCGGGCTCGCCATGCTAATTTTTCTTCCTTCCTAATCTCTATCGTCTTGAAGCAAACTATATATCTATGGATTCTTCAAATCTGCTTTGCTTGCTGTTTAAGACTGATTTCAAAACACAATTGGTTTTTTTTTTTCGTTGCAGATTTTTCAGAGTAGAAAATTTGTAATGAGCAAGAAATGACAAGGGAGTGTGTTTTTTAATTTCGGCTTTTCGATTGTGATGGTGATTTTTTTTTTATAAATATATTATTTTGCTAAAGTGGAAATGGGAAGTGAAGTGTATGATTGGGAAGACAATCTATCTTTCTATCTTGGGAAGTCGCTGACAAGCTCTATTATTAAAATATTACATTTTTTTTTTGGGTGAACTGTGCACGGGGAGGAACCCCAATCAACACAGCATAAAAGATTTATTTTCCACATCACCATCGTCGACATCTTTTTTCTCAGGCCTGCCATTTTAATTGCTAGCTTCTTAATTTTTTTTATTTATTAATATTAGTTTTTACCCCAACCTTAATTTTAATTGCTAGCTTCTTTTTAATTTTATTTTTCTGCAAGAAATCATGTGTTTGTTGTAAATTGTAATTGATCTGGACGGTGGAGATGGGTCGTGGCACAGTTGGGTTGGTCAGCGACAAAAAGGCAGGATCGCTATTAATACGAATGGGGATGGAAGAGCTCGTGACTACGATGCGGGAAGAACGAGGGCACTTTTAATTTTTATTTTTTTTTCTTTTATATACAATGTGAGATCATAATGACATGTTTAAAAATATTTGATGAAGAATAAAATGTTATATTATAATTCCATTTAATTTATGCTTTTTTTGGTTTTTTCCATTTAACTACTCTTACGTGGTCATTACTGTTAGGGCTACTCACTTTGAACATAATTCCAAGTTCAACATCTACTTTACAATTTAGGTTAGAGTTTAGTTGAATTTGCTTTAATTCTATATCAACCTATTTCATAAGATAAAATCATACATCTTAAGTAGATTAAATTAAATGTTACATTCCATCATCTAAGAATCTTCTCCAATTTTCAATTCTTTCATCTAAACAGAGGTTAACTATAAGCATAAAACCCTACATTGAGTTGGTAGAGCAAATGCCGTATTTGTCTCCATAAGTGAAAAAGTCCAATACCAACATATAGAAG